CATAGGAATTGTTGTGATTCCTGAGGCCTTAAAAGAGAGGCTGGACTCTGCCTCCACTCTCAGGAGCACCACAGGCCACAGCCAGCCTGCTTTATCCACATGGTATTCCCTGAGCCAGGGAATGTCCTTGGGTGAACTCTGTGCCACTGTCTGCTGCTCCTCAGCCTCAGTGCTCCATTAACAGGAAAGGGGAGGTTGGATTTTGTTTGGGGTTTGTATTTGGTTTTGTTTGGGTTTTTTTCATTCACACAAACATGAAAAGTTTATTGGACTGAAGAATCCAACCTACCTTTCAAGTCCCCTGGGGATAAAAATTTCCCTCTGTCTGTGTGAGCACGTAATACACACATCCATTACTGCATTATATCAATAAATAACTTTATCCCAAGGCAGAAAATTTTCATAGAAGGATAAAGAAGTGGATTAAAATTGTTCAGAACAAAAATCTCTAACAAAAACCTTGTTTTCTCATATCCTGAAGGAAGAAAATATATTTCTATATATTTCTATGAGCTTGGTCAGGAAAAGGAATAATGAATGTATCACTTGGATAAACAGAGCATCTAAGAATTATAAATATTTTAAATAGATTGCTTAGTACAAATACTGTTGTTTTATGAGGGTTAACCTTAGCACTTGGCAAAGATAGCAAGTGCTTGTTTAAAGAACACTATAGGGTAAACAAAGCCATGATTACACAAAATCCATGTTTCAGATGGGGAGCTATGGTCCCATTTCCTGTATATTTTAAACTTGTGTAATGTGATCATATAAATATTAGAAAAATAAAGGGTAATCATAACCATATTAAGGAGGATGTGAATCCAACACTGTAATTCTGAAGAGAAAGACAAATGCAATTTTTGGCAACCTAGTTGAAAAAAGGCAGCAGAGATTCTGCTGCATGGGAAGAATTGATTCTTCCACCTATAGGTTGCTGTAAAGGAGAAGAAAAAAACCAGCTGTATTAGGTATTCTAATGTATTCTGTTACTCTTTTTTACACAGAAAGCCAGTGATGAAATCTAAGAAAGAGTGTGTTCTGTTCAAAGACTACATGAGGAAAAGTGCTGCATGTGCTATGTGTATCTCGAGGAAAGCTTAGAAAAAAACTGAAACAAAGTCTTCAATTTTTTTGTTACGTTTTCCCCTTATGACATCTTTGTTGAGTTCTATTACACCTTTAGTTATACCAAGCAGGATACAAAAACTAAGCCCAAATCCCATCCAAATAAATTCTGTTTTAAATTATTATTTCTAAGGAATCAATAGGTAAAAAAGACAGAATATTAAGTGGAACAGTTACTCAGGTTTTTGCAATAGAAGTATGGAAAAAAATACAACGTTAGAAAGACTTGTGTAAGAACTTTTGAAAATGGGACTTTTTGAATCAAAGTGCTTCAGACTCCTAATAAAAACTGAAAATATTTCAGTTTAGGCCCTTTAAACATTTCAATGGAATATCTAAATTTTCTATTCAAAGATACAATTTTTAAAAGTACAAAGCATCTATTATGTAAATAATGTTTCAATGGCTCTACTTATTCTAGTTATTCAATAACTAGTCATGAAAATAATCACATTACACTTTTTCATTTGTTACAGTGGAAGCCATGCATGCCAGATGAAGTCAAAAACTCCCAGATTAGGAGCTCACCTATATCGAGGCAGAATAAAGCAGAGCTTGTGTCTGGTATTGACTCTTCTTTTGAGTTTACTGGGACATGTGCTTGCTGGGTGGAATCACATGGCTGCAGAAAACCCATCTTCTGTTCTTTCATAAGCTCCTGAAGGAATTTGAAAAAAATTGGGCCCATGACCTCAAACAAAATATTTGGCATGTGAGCATCTTTCATGTAGCACTTAATAAAATCACTACTGGAGCTTTCCAATACTTTCAAAATAATATCTGTTTTAATTAACCTGAATATTTACTCTTTTCCATATGAAATCTCATGCAAAGCAGCAGCACATGATCCTTTCTCACTTTTAAATATTGAATTTAACATGTCTCATGCACATATACTACAGGCTTGTGAAAGTCTTGCATGTCTTTATTTTGGAACAATGATTCCTCATGCATTCACTAGTTTCAACTGCTGTGTTGAAATGCTGTGTTGAGTGGCAATGCAAATCCCAGCTGTAAAATCATTGTCCTACTTTTACTTGTCTCAGTTCAAGGTAACAACCTTCTCTCCCATCATGCCCACATCTCACACTTGTCCAAGCCTTCTCACACCCAGCCTCCTCAACTCCCACCACACTTTCAAAATCTCACACTGCATTTCCAGCTTGTCTTCCACATGAGCTCACTTGGTCAGAGGAGCGTTTCTTGTTTAAGAAATAACTTTGAAAATCCAGTCCTGTTTTACTAAAAATTGTTCTGCTATTATGAAATATCTGCTTATATTTTTATGGGGGTGTTTTCTCGTGGATATTCATGAAGATTTTAGCAAGTCATGTATTTGCCTCTAGGTACTTGGATTTTCAAAACACTAACTTGGATGACAATTTTACACGATGTTAAGGGTTTTCCTGTTTAGCCTTATTTATTTTCCCTTATGATGCCTTAAAGATAGGCTGGAAATAAATCCCCATAGACTGATGTCTACAGAGCAGGTATTTGTTTATTGCAGCACTGGTGGTGAGGGGGATTTCTCCACCTAACTCCCACCTTGGCCAAGTGCTGTGGTATATTTATACAGTAAGTACTGCCTAGTATCACTGTGTCACTATAACATCATCAAATACACACTGGAACTAGTTTAGGTAGTATGAGCTCATGGTTATTAGATAGTTCTTTGGCACTGTGCTTGCACCTCCCCATTTCAGGAGTCGTCAGGGGTTTTGATGAAGGCTTCCAGGGTCTTCTTTGCATGTGAACCTTTCAACTTTGTCTTCAGAGTATGTGCAGCTAAGGTGTTCCTTGGTCTGTCTGGTCTTAACTAGCCTAAATTATTTGTTTTGTGGCTAATTGGCCAATTTTGGCTACTTGCCAATTTTTCATTAGTACTACACTTATCTATCTCTAAAGATAACTACCTGGCAAGTTTTTTCTTCTTCGTCTGCTTGGCATTAAGCAACTCATTAAGCATATATTTAGCCATTACATAGTATAAAAAGTTATGATTCAGGTTATAGGGTCATGATACCAGGTTATATAGATACAGCAGGTTATACTGATACATAAAACCCTATGGTTTATGTTATATTGATAAAACTCAAGAAATATAAGCACCTGATAACATTGATCTAAGTTGTGAAGGTATCACTTATCCATAAGCTTTTGAGGAAAATCAATATGAAAGCGGCTCAGTGAGCCAGGATACCCTTCAGAAACACAAGGAGCAGTGTTTGGGCTCCTCTTTGGGGAGATGGATTGCTTCAGTAGCTGAGGGGATAACCTAGAATTCAAGAATAAGAGGAAACAAAAACTAAGGCCACCACACTCCTTACTAATGCTGCTGTTTGGAGGTGCTGAGGGCACTGGGGCTGTTTTTCGTACCCTTTTCCCCACATTTTCTGCACTTGCTGGTTGTGACCTTCCCAGCCCCAGCGGCAGCGGGCCTAGCAAAAGGGGTCAGGTCGAAGGGACCACAGCGGGGCATCTGGTGCCAGCTGCCCGCTCAGGCAGGCTCATCCCAGAGCACAAGAGACAGCACAAGGCACAGCACTGCGTGCAGACGGTTCTGGAAGGCCGGGGGCAGGCCCCTCCACAGCCGCGCCCCACAGGCGGGGCCGCCGCCTCACGCAGGCCGCGGCCAGCCCGGGCTCGGGACGGCGCGAGGCACGCCGCGTGACGTCACACGGCGCAGCCAACGGCCGCCTCTGTTGAACCGGGGGCGAGGGGCTCGTTGCATATTCACGAGGAGGGCCCGGTGCCTGCGCTGACGTCACGCCGCCGCAGCCAATAGCAGCCTCTGTTTGCGGGGCCGTGCATATTCATTTATGCATATTCATAGCCACGCACTTTCGGGGCGGCGGCGGCCGCGGCGAGGGGCGGGCCCGGCCCGGCCCGGCCCGGCCCGGCCCCCTTCCCTCGCGGGAAGCCAGGGCCCGTGTGCCTGCGGAGCCCCGCCGGCCGCGGGAGGCGGAGCCGGCCCGCCTCTATTTATGCTGAGCTCTGCCAGGAACGTTGCCGTGAGTGTAGGGCGGAAGCGCCCGGCACCTCCTTCCTCCTGCCCGGGTGCAGGCGACGAGGATGAGCCAAAGAGACACCCTGGTGCATCTCTTTGCTGGCGGGTAGGTGAAGCCCCAGGAGCTGCTCTTGCGTTTTCCCCTTCTCCTCCCTGGGCTACGGGTCTGGCCCCGTGCCCGCTGCTGGCTGGCCTGGGGGCGCCGGCGGCCTGGAGCGGCAGCGTGGGGACATGTCGGTAGGGCTGTGGGGACTGCCTCGCTCCTCCGTGCCCAGGGGACCGCGGGGAGGAGGGAGGGGGCCGCGCTCTGCCTCCCGCCCCGGGCCCTGGGGCCCTTCCGGGCCCGCTGCGCGCGGTCGGGCCCGGCCCCGGGTGTTGCGTTGTGTCACGGGTGGAACGCGGGCCCTTGGGGAGGTGGGGGTGGAGGCTTCCCGTAAAAGCAGCCCTTCTCTCCCATCGCCGTGCCCGCGTTTGCCCCTTATCTGGTGTTTCCATGGGCTCCCCGCTCTCCAGAGAGGCTGCCGGAACTCGCCTGTCGGCCTCGTGGGCTGGGAATGCCCTGCTCGTGTCCAAGAGCCGCTGTAGCTATGCAGTGCATTTTAAGCGCGTTAACTGCGTGCTGTGCTTCCCTGTGGGGCTTTGGCACGGTCATGCAGCTCTCCAGCCACACAGGCAGAAGAAATGCGACGGAAGAATGTATCCAGAAGTAAAGACGTAGCCTTAATTAGATTTGAGGTAACTTTTGTACCTTTACAGCTATTAATGAAGTTACGAAAATGTGTGAAAAAAAGGTTTCAAAATGTATGGGCTGTATTTCTGGAGCCTGTGGTTCTTCCACGGGCAGGGTGGGAAGGACACACAGCCTAAAAGGGAAAGTTGAGGGTCCTGATGGCCTGATTGTGATAGTGTATTTGGGTAGTGAGCATGACTGTACAGAAGTGATAGAGGACACATCGTGCATCCCAGGTGAGAGCTTGAAGCTGCGATTTCCCTTTGTGCTCTTCACCGAAAAAAATGAGCATGCTGCTGCTGGACTGAGGTGTTTGAGTTGTACTGATTCTGAGCAAGTCTGAGTTATTGGATATATGTCCGTACTTTCTCTGCTTTTGCCTTTTTGTATTGTACACCTGATCTAGTGCCTCTGTGGGGGCTTTTTCATCCCTTGATTTCTTGCACCCTTTTTGAGAGTAGTTATGTAGCTGGAGGCCCAAGAAGTAGTAGTATGTAGTTTTCTTCAGACTTTGCATCCTTGTAAGTGTTCAGAAAAGCAATAGCAGCAGCTTAAGAAAGATCAGGAGCTGCTGGAGAGGGTCCAGTAGAGAGCTACAGATTTGATGAAGGGTTTGGAGCATCTGTGTTATTAGAACAAACTGGGGGAGCTGGACCTGTTTTCTGGTCCAGTCTGGAGAAAAGACTGAGAAGGGATCTCTTTAATGCGTATGGATATCTCAAAGAGGTTCCAAGAGGATGGTGCCAAGACTTTTTTCAGTGACAATAAGCAGAGGCCATAAACTAAAACATAAGAAGTTTCACTTCAACATGAGGAAGAACTTCTTTATATTGAGGGTGGCAGAGCACTGGAACAGTTGCCCAGGGAGGTTGTGGGGTTTCCCTTTCTGGAGACATTCCAAATCCACCTGGACCTGTGTTCCCTGCTCCAGATGACCCTGCCTTGGCAGGGACATGAGACAATATGATCTCCAGAGGTCCATTGCAGCCCTAAGGAATCTGTGAGTGGTGCTTGATTGTAGCCCTTCAGCTTGACAGGTGTGCACAGGGGAAATTACTGAGCAGAATTGTGCGTTATGTGAGAAATATGTTTGTAAACTGAAACTTGAGACCACATGAAGATTGCTCAGCTCAGTTTGCTCATTCCTATTTATTGCAGAGCAGTCTGGTCGATGGGTGGGTGCTGGCCAGCTGGGTCCCGGGTTATGCTGAGAGGAAAAGGCTGCGTGTGACCCACATGTTTCCTGTAACCTTAGTTCAGCCAAGCTAACACTGTGTTTGGTTACGTTTTGCAGTAGAAGAGTTTTTTGGGGTCATCTCATGACTGTGCAAGCACGGTGCACTACAGATCACCTGAGTGATCTTTTGGCGCTTTTTTTTTTTTCTTAAGTGTTCAAGGTCATTCTTTAGTTCCTGCTTTCTGTAATGAAACTTGGACAGATGACATTACTGGTTTAGTAACATTAAGTGGGACTATCCTGGGATTTCTCTGTAGCTGCCTAGGCTGTAGGAGTTTTTGTCTATCTTCTCTTTTTCCCCTCGCTTAGTCCAATAGCAACTGTTGTCACTGTAGACATTTTGTTGCTACTATAAACTCAGGTGCTTTTATTCTAAACCAAGGTTGCAGTTGAACATTCTTCATTCTTAAATTAAAAAGTCATGTGATTGAAATATAGGATGTAGATTAACATGTTTAGTTCAAGTAGTAAGTTATGGTTGCTTTTTTAGTTGTTAGACTCATTTTAAAAAGTAGTATAAAACCTTAATGTTTTGCTTTATAGGAAATATTAATATGTTTTGGATGTACTGGCTTGCAGCCATATAGTGAAAATTCAGGTGTTAGCTACAGAAATAGTGTCCAGGTTTTCAATCAAGATTGAGTTTTCATTTCCAGAAAGCTTATCATAGCAATTGTGTATCATACACACTTCCATCAGAGCAGTGAAATTGCCTGAGTCTTGTTTCTTCAGCAAAAGGAGAGGTTTGGGTTAGGAGGTGGATAGCTGCTTTTCTGAGTTCACAGCTGGATAGTCTCAGGTTTGCTTCTTTTCTTCACTCTTGGTGTTTCTTGCAGAAATTTGGCTGTTTTCTAATTTAATATGTGAGGAAGTATAGGGAGGAGCTTCTTAACTTGATTATTAGAACTGTCTCAAATTGGTCTGTAATTGTAATCATTCTGTCTGACAGGTTTTTAGCAAATCCCTACAGTGGCTAAAACAGTTAAGGTACAGAAAATGTATTGAACATAAGTGTTTGAATTCTCAGCAAGATCAGACACTGTCAAAATGTAGGAAATAAAGGTGAGCGACTTCTGGGCTTTTCTGATTTCAGAAGATGGTTAATAATGTGTAGCAGGTATTGTGATGATGGGGGCTTTTTTATGCCCTTTTAGGAAACAGCAACTTGAGCCATAACTGAGTTGCCAACACTAAGCCCCTCTCTGCCCTAAAATACATTCGTGGCATAACCCTGGATGTATTTCAGAACAAATGAGAAGGACGTTAGTGCCTTTCTGTCCAAACTTGAGATTGTTATTATATTCACATACACTTCTGTGTGAAATATGACAGTGTTTGTTTAAAGCTTGGAGTTTGCTCCATGGGGTTACTACATTGCATGAAAATTGCTGTCAGTACCTGAGAAATGTTTCTTTCTAGATGCTTTGTGCTGTTCTTACTTAATGCAAATGTTATTGTAAATACTGTTTTACTCTGGCTGTACAGTATAGAAGCTATACTGTTAATGTTGATGTTTGTTTTAGATGATGGAACCCAGTGATGCTTGATCCCCTGGTGGTGTTTGTCCTGTTTTCACTTGTAAGTTTTTTTATTGCAGCACACAGGGGATTTTATTTTTACACTGTTCGTTAGACATCGCACGTTTGATTAGTATTTGTATTTATGGATGTGAGCTTAACTCACACTTTCTAGGTTTCAGAAAAGAAACATAATTGGTGAGTAAAGTGATTAAGGGTTTGTAGCTGCTGGTACTCAAGTTCAGCAGTATTATACTATGAAAACCCTGAAAATTCAGGATTAATGAATGCTGTTTCTGAAAGCTGTACTTGCTAAAGCCCTTCCATACTCTGACGACTGATACTATACAGGTAATGGCCAAAGCTGCCACTCTGATGTGAAAGTTAGTCGGGTTGGAAGACATCTCCATGAAACTGCTGATAGATTTGGGACCTGAATTTACAGTAACTGATGAAAAGATAAAAAGGTGTTCTGTTTGCAAGTGGCTTGGTTACTTTTTTTTTACAGAATTTTGAGTTCAGTTTATTTGCTGTTTCTTTTGACAGCCAGTGTTTGCATGGAGCTTTCATTTTCACACAGGAAAGATAAGTAGCTGGTAAAATACATGAATTAATGTAGATCCAAGATAACAGGGTCAAGGTTTATCTTTAAGTCTTTGAGGCTGTGGTTATAAATACTGTGAAAGGTGAATCTGAAACTAGGTCTAGGCAGCCATGGCTTTTGTTTTCATGAAATACATCATCTCAAGGAATTAAAAAAATGTATACTGACAGTTTTAGTTTGGAGTCAGCCTGCAGTGGCCCTTGGAGTATCAGTCTGCTTTAGAGCATTTCCAGACAGTCCAGCAGCTGAATTTGAGACCCTCATCCGTGCTGGAGGGGTCTCTCTTGGTACTTGCAGGGCTGAAAGGTACCCGTAGAAGATACTTAGCTGTTCTGGACTAGGGCAGTGATTCCTTAGCAGATATCTTGCAATAATAAGAGAAAAAATTCTTGTGTAGCCGTGTCTGGAAGGAGAACCTGGGCCAAAAAAGTTTAGGTTTTTGAAGCATGTGTGTATTTTTTTCCTTGGAATGTCACACAAATAATGCAGGTATGTCTGAGGAAAATGGTTGTCAGAGCTGTACCTGTTGAACAGTTAGCAGAATTTAAAGACCAGTAGTTCAGGATTTGTTTCTGTTAAACCAGTGAGATATAATGGTCTTCTAAATCACCAATTGGGATCAAATTAAGTGTGTTGTGGGTGCTTGAGGTTCCCTTTGTGGTTTTAGGTTTGTTTTTTTTTTTCCTCAATGGATGCTTTCTGGAGGATAAATGATCTCCTTAATTTAGGAGAACATTGTCATCTTTCTAGATTCTTCAGTCCAAGAGATGTCAAGTAGACAACTGTTCTTAGTTGTATTGTTTTTCTTTTAGGTTTATCGTGATCCTGCAGATAGTAACTACATCTTGTGATGTCCCTGTATCTTGCTTCATTGAATGTGGCATCTCTTAAATTGTACAGGAGGCTCAAGTTGAAATGTTAATTCCCTAGCTTGACTGTATTAATAGTAGAGGGATTTTAGTCCTTTTTTTTACTGATGTGTTTATTTTTGTGGATTTACCTACTGATCTCTGCTTTTCTGCATTTCAAATTGCTTGGGGCCTACAGGTGGATTCTCATACCCTTTAATGATCAAGGTGTTTCTGCTGAAAGTCAGCTTTGCAAGCTTTTTTATACTCATGTGGTAAAGCTGAAGAAGGCTTGTAGTAAACATTGATCAAAGGCAAAAATACCACATTTAGGATAGATAAGATGAGCAAATGGCCTTCTGAATAGGATTCACTGGAAACTGCAGTAAGCATTCAGACATGAGTGTCTCAGGTCTTGCCATTCTTCACTTCCCATTTATACTGTGTCAGCAGGAGTGTGTTTATTCACCTACTTACTCTAGCAGGTGAAATTCATCTAATCCTGGAGAAAAAGTTACACATTAGTAAATGTTCCTACAAGTCACACTTGTGGTCTGGTGCATGCATGACTGGAGAAACTCAAGCCCAGAGTGGTTTTAGGTAGTAGAAATTTGACGTAGTTTACAAAATCCCACCTGCATTATTGAGAAGAGATGTCATATTTTTCAAACTGTTAAAAGTTTCTCTGAACTGTTCTAGTTCCTAATTTGTGTTAAACCTCAAACTAAAAGTATTCCCCTTAATTTGAAGCAGTGAGGAGGGGAGCAGGAAAGGCTGGCAATTTATAGAGCACTTGTTGTAGGCTGAAGCTGGTGGCTGGCTGTTAATGACCTGCCAGGAGCACAAAAATGTGGCTGTCTCTGATGGTATTCCCAGTAGTGTATTAAATAAGCAAGGCTGGAAATACATTTCTAAGTAGAATACACTGTCATTGATGCTGTAACAGAACAGCTGTTATGCTTCTTACAAGCTGCTTATTTGTACAGAGTGCATATTTTTGAATTGTTTCTCTTCTGTGTTTACCCACAAGCTCTGTTTATTGACAGTTCTTCATAAACAGTTTTTTGTCAAGCCATGAGGTGTTTATCTGAAAAGTCAAGTGAAGTAGACAAGTCAGGGCAGTTACTGGATTATGCCTTTGTTTAGTAGCTTATTTCAAACTCAGTAGATCTTGTGACCATTAAGAAAGTTCTGGTTCCTAAGCATATCAAGACATTTCTTTCACTCCTTCAGTTTCAGATGTTGTCTCTATTATATAGGGCTTTTTGAGGGCTGGGAAAGTGATGTGTTACTTTGACAGAAGTAGCAATTGGGGATTTTGCCCAGACTCACATTATACAACCACACAGCACTGTAAAACTTCTCAGCTTTCTTCAGCTATAAGAAGAAATTTGCGATCTTGAAGATTGTTTGAATTAGACTTCTTCTCTGTCCCCAATAGTTAGTGGAAAACATGGAAAATATTCTTGGGTTCAGTGGAGACATCCTAAATTTTTTAAGAAAAGCCTAACCAAAGAAACACAACAGCAAGAAACTGCCAAGGGTGCTGATTATTTGAAATTACTTAATTGGCAGAATGTGGTGTAGGTAGAGGATCTTAAAGGGAGGCAGGTGAATCTGCTGCTTCTCTAGGCTGCATGTGAACGTGGTGCTGCCTGCTCTTACATCTGCTGGCTGTCACTGACCAGTGCCTGCTGCAGACAAAACCAGCGAGCACAGAGTAGCTGTGGATCAGCCCTCGTCCCCAGTAATCCACAGCTGAGTGAAGGGTGTCTGGCCCATCCACCCTGAATGTCTGGTGGAGCTGCTGCAGTCAGGCATTCCTTGTGATTTGGGTGTGGTGCAGGGGAGCATGCAGGGCATGAGCTCCAGGTCAGTGTTAATCTTCAACTTTAGAAAATTTTTCTGCTCTGATGTAGTGGCGGGGGGGGGGGGGGTTGAGGGCAATTAAGGGATCTAAGCCCTGTTCAAGAATGCAGGTCAAGTTTTTTTTGTCCTCATTTCTTCCCTAGTTCCATAGCTCATTAATATAAATCATACCTCGTTCTTTATCTTGTGATTACAGTTGCTTGAAAACAAGTTCTTGTGTAAACTGTCCAAAATCAAAAGCGGGAAATTTTTCAAGAGAGTAAGCACAAGAACAGAAATGGAGGGGATGCAGGAAAGGAAGTAAACTCTGAAGCCAGCTTCCTTCATTGCCTGCACAGGCATGTTACCATGGAGTGGGGTCTGTTTTGAACTGCAGGAAACACAGACAACTTTGTGTCTCACATCTTAAGAGCTTCAGTAGCTTCATGTCAAGTTCTTTTGGGAGGTGACCTGCCTGTGCCTCTTGCATGCTGTTCATGTCTTGAACTTGTATATTACAGATTCTTACTGTTTTCAACCCTGGCTAAAATCAATATTAGCACATCTACTCTTTCTGGAACTCTTAATTTTAAAATAAGTCTATTTATAGCTTACTGTTAGAAGCAAGTGAATTGCTCATTCAGAGCAGGCTGCTCTAATGTCTGTGTCAGGCTGTAAATGCATATGTGCAGCACACACTGAAAGACTTTCATCTTCCTGTGATAACACTTTCTTCCAGACTGGCCAAGAAACACGCTATCTTTCCTCAGTTAAACCTTGAAAGAGAATAGACTTCAGTCTAATGTTGGAACTAGGGACAGGCAGGATGCCTTTAGGCTTAGTAATGGGATATGTCTAGGTCACTGGGTTTAAGTGGAGTGTTAAGTGAGCATCAGACTTCTACTTGGCAGCTCTACTCCTCTCAGTTCACTTGATACAAACAGATCAAGTTTGTAGGATACAGTGCTGTATTTTTGGTATTCTCTGTGAGAGAAGAGTCAACAGACTACCCTCCTATGAAATTTTATAGCATATCTTGAGTCTTAGCTATTACTCCTAATTTGGACTGAACTCTCCTTTTCACTTTGGAAAACATTTTAAGACTCAAACAGGCTTACAGCTTATTAAAGGTTTGGGATTGTTTGAGCTTCTTGTGTTAGAAGAAAAATAGCTGATAACTACCTCGTCAGAATCAAGCACTTGTTCATGTTATATATGCGTTATTCTATATATTAGGGGAAGCCAATACAAGCCCTTTGACTTGAATACAAATTGTATTTTTGTGTTAGTGGATTTCAAACTGACCTGTAGTTAGCGTTAATAACAGAACTGAAATCTAGGTTTGCTTCTTTGGGTTGAATTTCTTGTTTGTTTGTTTTTTAAAAGAGATAGTGTCCTGGCCATAGTTTTAAGAAGGGTGTTTAGCAATGTTAAGAATACTGCTTTCTGAAAAGGTTCAAGACACTGTCTTGGAACTCAGGATTTGTGGATTTGCTATTTTTTCCCTCCAAGGCTGCAGTTGCACAGCTAGGAAGGTAGATATTAATAACTGCATTCTGAAGAAGCCCAAGAAGGCTCTGGGCAGAGCTGTGCTGGACACTGTATTCCTGGCTGCACTGTGGTTGAGCAGAACAGCAGGAGCTGCTCTCAGCACAAGCTGTGCATGGCTTGCCCTGCTTTGCTCTCAGGAATGAGAGACAGACTAAAGCAAACCCAGCAATCTTCACCTGGTCAGCCACGGGAGCTCTTCTGCCTTTGCAGTTTCTACTCCACAGTACCTGGTCTGCCTTGCTGAAGTGAGCAGAGCTTGGACAATCACTGCTTTCATGGTACAATGACCAATTTACAGTCGGGCTTTGGAAGCTGTTATTAAATTGTGACACTACAGATTTTACCAGATTTTACACGTACTCCCATGTGCATAGCGCATAAATCTTTTCTGCCCTTAAGGATTTTTGGCACCTTTTTTGTGGTCAGGAGTGCAGTAAACATTAAAAAAAAAAGATAAAATTTACCGTAACAAGTTAAACATTTAAGCTACTGAGCTACTTTCCAGAACTGATTTGCATGTACTATGCACCTTCACTATGTTTTGTCTGTTTAAATTTTCACTTCAAATTGTGGAGCTTGCAAACTGCCTTAACAGCTGGCTTTCCTTCAAGGGCAAATAACTGTCATTGTTGCACATGTTCCCATTGGCTCTTCACTTTTTGCAGTGGGACTGTGTTGACTATAATGTCAATTCTATGTCAATGTATTTTCATGTAGTTCATTTCAATTTCTTTGCAGTTAAAAACATGATGATCCTGTTTATCTTTGCAGATGTGGAGGTACTGTTGGTGCAATTCTGACATGTCCACTGGAAGTTGTAAAAACACGACTGCAGTCCTCCTCTGTGACTCTTTACATCTCTGAAGTTCATCTCAACACTGTGAATGGTGCTACGGTCAACCGAGTAACCAGAGTTTCTCCTGGACCTCTCCACTGTCTGAAGTGAGTGCACCTGCACAAGGGTTTGGGTTCATTTTGGGCAGGCAGGAGATCAAAATCTGTTTAAAAGATTCTGACTCTTATGTCTGTCATGCTACCAGGACATGCCTTTCTGCATTTTGCCTTTGAACTGTTTCCAATTTTTCGGATGTCCTTCATGCTTGTATGAAGCTTGTATGTTGAAGTAGCCAGAGCATGCATGCCTTATACAACTCACAGCTCCAAACTGCATCACCAAGATTCACTAACATTTAAGTGCCAGACTCCCACTTTCATGACTTTTTTTAAACTGTTTTGTGTCTAAATCATAGAAGTTACTGAATATGTAGGCAATTAAAATTAACTCAGTTTCTTAGTCTCTTTCAACTTTCACTACCCACACAGTTTTTGCCTTTGAGTATCTTCTGGTGGATGTGTGACTAGTAATTCTCTTTTAGAGCTAGTAAGAAATAGCTAAGCCCAGCTTTTGCAGTGAACTGAGATGTGTTACTTGTCTAGTGCCTCCCTGCATGGGGGCTGCCTTTCCTCTTGTTTGCAGTGCTTGTGTAGTTCAGGAGCCAGCAGGGAAGTTGTAAGGCTACAGTTAAACTGTTTGTATGGGCCACGGGAAGGGTGCACTTCTCCCTGAGGGACTCAAGCTAGCCAGTTAAGGGCAGGGAAGGTACCTTCAGTATTTGGGGATGAGGGGAGATTTCCTACAGGAAGGACCTGCTGCTGCTTCTGGCATTAGAGAGTTGGTTGAGTCTTGACAACTTCTGTTCTCAGTTAATTAGTAAGAAGTAGTTTGTAGACAGCCCCTTCTGGCAGTTGAAGTGTAGGGTTTAACCCTAATCTAGTTAGAGCATAGGATTTTCTTAAATGGAGGTTGTACCCAAATAGTTCTTTGAATGGAAGATGATTTTTACAAAAGTTTGGGTTCAGAGCCTTGTCACAAGGGTCTGATGAGTGAATATGTTGGGAGCAGGTATGTGGGAAGGAAAGGCTTGGATTGTGGCCAACAAGGAAATCTGCCTGACTTCTCTTGATGGAAGTAGCTTCAGCTTCTTTCTCAATGTTTGGTTATGAATTTATTTTCCATTTAGAAATGTATATCAATGAATAACAGGTTGAATAGATTTATTTTTGTTATGCTTCTCTGCTAGAAGCCTGCTATGCTTTTAATGCATCCCTAAGACTGAAAATAATTTGATATTCCCAGGAAGCAAATTCAGACTGAGGTAGAGGGGGCCCATGATGAATTTTATTGGTAGGGCTTGTTTGTTTTGTTGGTTTGTCTTTAACAATTGCCCTCTTACACATGCTATTTATCTGTAATACAGAAATGTCTCTTCTGCTGCTTTTGTTCTTTGCTTAGATGTGTTTTCTTTCAGGCCATTATCAAAGGGCTGAGATGGAAAGCCTGGGTTTCAAGTTCTTTAAATATAGTAAATACAAAAAAATCCCAAATGACATGGCAATGGACTGTGATAATGAAAACACATAGGTGCAGGACATAATTACTCTTGGTTAAGGTACTAGGGCTGTTTAGTGGGGAAATAAAACTGGATTCCTTTGTCACTGTCAGGCCCTTACTGTCATTAGATATTTTTTGACTCATAGTTGTCAGACTTCAGTTGTGTCATAGCAAATTCGGTGCAGTGCTCAAGGCTCACATTACTCCATCTAAAAGCAGAGTGATTCAGGCAAATTATGTCAGAATTTCAGTGAACTGACTGCTGTAGAATCACTTCTGCATCTTGAGCATCAGTGGAGGTGACTTGAAAGGCATCTGTCAGGAAACAAACTGAGAAAAAACAGTTGACTCTCTTTTCTGGCAACAAAAGCAAATTATTTTTTTCTTAAATATCTGTGTCGTGTTATTACGTTTTCTCATCATTTATGTTGCACAATTTAAACCTGAGGTCTTGCTAGTGAAAATCTTACCAGCCTCCCAGTGCAGGCTCTCCATGTGACATAATTTCAGTTGAGGCTGTATGGAGCACTTGTCCTGGTTGGAAGACCAGGACATGGATTTGCCCTTAACTGCTTTCAATAAACAAGTGTAGACCCTGGGATCTACTCTTTAATGCAAAAAGTTTGTCTTATTTTCAGTGCAGCCTCTGGCACTTTTCCAGCTGGTGTCTGTGAATGCAAAAGAGCATCAGTAACTATGTCCATTGTAATCCTCTCCTCAGCTCTTTGCTGCTCTGTCAAATTCTGGGACTGGAGATCCAAAAGAAGCAAATAGACCTGGTACACTTGGTTCCTAAGTTTCCAAGACACTGAGATTCCTGCTGCTTTGAATACATGTGTAGCTGTAGCTATATGTGCATATATACATGTGTGACACATGATGTGGTAGTAGTGGTTTAAGTGGATACAGATCATGTTAATTGGGTTCAGCATTGCAAGACATAAAAATGCTTTCAGGATGACAGACAGGTGCAAAAACTTGTATTTCGAAGGTGTCTGAGTGTGTTCAGTATTCCAGTTAGTGCTGTGGAGTGATGCTGCCCACATAGTGAAACGATAGCTGATTGTTATGGACAAAAAGCTGCAGTGTTACTGGACACATATGTCAGTATCTCTAAATACTGAGAGTGGAGTGGTAGCTACAGAACTACTGATTTATTTTTGTTTAGTGAAAGCCAAGATCAACTTTGAGTTTGATTTAGCAGCAGAGCAATGGTGAATTGCTTTCACTTGTTTGTTCTGATAGTAAATTCCAAACAAAATGGCCATTTATACTATAAAGGTAGTTTGCTTTATTGAGTAATTGACTTGTCATTAACCTGCATGGCTCTTTGGAGAAGAAATATACAGAACTACTTGTGTGCATTGGCCAGTATTTCTAAATCAGTAGGTGCAGGGTTCTGTTTCATAGCATCTGGGAATGTAGTTAATTCTTAACTTTAAATCTGGTTCTAAAATATTTGCTAGAGCAATTTGCACTAATGGGATGCAGGTAGTCCTTGTTTCTCCTCCCATGTCCTACCATACTTTTTAAAATACCAATGTGATTAGCATCTAGATTGTGGGGCAGGCTGATTTCACTAGAACTGAGTATTTGTCTCTTACTGTGCCAGGGTACCTTGCTGCATTACAGTCTTCAGCTCTTCCGAAAATCCACAACTATATGGGATCCATGTGCAAAACTAAAGGACTAGTAATGCCCTATGTGAAGTCTCAACTCGCTGCTTGTACCATGCTTTCCTGTAAATTCCAAATATGTGGAAGGTTACACCCTGCTGCCACCCAAGCCATCTTTCCGGAGCTGTATTTACAATAGACATGGTACAGGACATGTGAGGACTCTGCTGTGGCTGTGAATCTGCACACGTTACACTTTTGTCTCAGTTACTATCAGTGAATTACCGTGCATGGGTAGGTAAGGATTGTCTTCCCTGGAATGAGTCAAAAGCCCAAAAACTGCTGGCTCCACAGCCCAGCAGCAGTGCTCAGTTAGGAGCACACAGGCAGCAGCAGCTCAGAACTGACAGGAGGGAGTCCCTGCCAGCCTCTAGGAGGGGTCACTTCTCACACTGAAGTTTTCAGCTTTCTTTTGCTGTAGTCAAAATAATCACCATGTCTTAAAGAACAAAGCTAAGAATGGGCTTCTAGTTGAATACTTAGTGGATTTCAGCATTTTATGGGTATATGGAAGACAGGACAAATAGGAAAGCAGCTTTAGAGATACAAACTTCTGCCATGAAATTTAGTGTCCTCTTAGGAATATTGTGGAATCATACTAGGGTAGACATACAATGCCATGTTGAGGTGTCTCTTTTTGAAGGGAGGAGTTAACAATAAATTGCCCAAGGTGTCCCTGTCTGGGTGTCATAGGCAGTAGAGTAGCATCTTCCAGAGTGGCTCTCGGACAGCAATGGCTGAGTGAAACTGGGCTGCTGAAGTCTCTCTTCTTTCTTGCCC